CAAAGACCCAACACAGCCAAAAATAAATATAAATAAATAAATAAATTTGGGGGGGAGAGACATTTGTAAAAACTTTACCACAAAGAAAATTCTAGGCCCAAATGTCTTCACTAGGAAATGCTACCAAATTTTGAGGATTCATGATACCACCACTTCCTGCTCCCTATATAAGGCCAGCATTACTCTGATACTAAAAACAGACAAAGACAGAACAAGAAAACAACAGACCACTATCTCTCATGAACTTTAGCAAAACAAACCCAACAATAAATATAAAAGATAACAAATCATGACCAAGTGGGGTTTATCTCCAGAATGAAAGGTTGTTTAATATTTGAAAGTCAATCAATGCAAATCATCATGTCAACAGACTAGGCAGTTCAAGACAGCAGGACAAAGATATAAAAGGCATCCAGATTAAAAAGGACGAGGAAAGACTGTCTTTATTCCTAAAATATTACTGCCTATACAGAATATCCTATGTTCTATAATAATGCTATTCGAACTACAAAATGCATTTAGTAAGGTTTCAAGATAGAACATACAAAAATCAACTATATTTCTATATAATACAACTAAAAATATAATAAACAATACCACATGAGAAATATGAAACAATGGGATAAATCTGACATAAAGCATACAAGACCTACATACTGAAAACTACCAAACATACTGAGACCTAATTAACTAAATAGATATATATCATGTTCATGGATCAGAAGACTAAATATTGTGAACTCACCCTTAACTTATCTACAGAGTCAACATTATACAAATCAAAAACCCAGATTTGTTTTCTAATTGATAAGCTGATTCTAAAATATGCAATGAAATGCAAAATATGTATAACTGTCAAAATAATTTTGAAAAAGAATGATGTTAGAAGTCCCACGTTACCCTGATTTCCAGACAGTGCAGTACTGACATAAATAGAGACAAATCAATGGAACAAAATAAAGTTCAGAGATAAATCCACATATATATGGCCGACTGATTTTTGAAAAGGTGCAAAGGCAATTCAATGAGGAAAATACAATCTTTTCACCAATGTGGCAGAACAACTCCATGACCGTATGCCAAAAACAAAAATGAAGCTAAAACCCTGCTTCTTGTCTCACACCATATACGAAAATTAACTAGAAGTACACAACAGAATCTAAGTATAAAATTAAACTATAGAACTTCCAAAGCAAGCAAGGAGGAAATTTTTCTGACCTTAAGTTAGGAAAAAATGTCTTAATGATATCAAAAGCACAGTACATAAAAGAAAGCCTTGATAAACTGGCCTTAATCCAAGAACTTTTTCTCTTTGAAAGACACTATTAAGAGACTGAAAAGAGGAAATGGCAGAAAACATTAGCAAACTACAGATCTGATAACGGACTTACATCCATAATATATAAAGAACTATCAAAACTCAGTAATATGAAAAACAAACAACCCAACTGAAAAATGGGCAAAAGTTTAAGCAGTCACTTCACCAAAGATGACACACAGATGGCAAATAAACACACAAGAAGATGGTCAATACAGTCATAAGGGAAATGCAAATTAAATCCACAATGGGGTACCACCATATACCACTAGAATGTCTAAAATTAAAAAAACTAACCATACCAAATGTTGATGAGAATGTGGAGCAACTGGAACTCTCATATACTGCTAGTGGGAATATAAAAGAGTACAACCACTTTGGAAAACAGTTTGGTAATTTATTAAAAAATTAAGCATACACCTAGTATGTGACCAGGGAGTCCACTCATAAGTACTTACCCCAGATAAATTAAAACATCAGTCCACACAAAGACCTGGACATGAATGTTCTTAGCAGCTTTATTTGCAAGAACCCCAAACCAGAAGGAATGCATAAACAAGTGAATTGATAAACTGTGGGATATCTGTACAATGGAATGCTATTCAGGAATAAAAATGAACAAACTATTGGTACATGCAGCAATGTGGACAAATCTCAAAGCAAGCATACTGAATAAAAATAAGCTACGCAAAGGAAGCAGATACTTTATGATTCTATTCATACAAAATTCTAGAAAATCCAAAACAATCTGTAGAAACAGAAAGCATATCAGTGCTTGACTGAGGATAGTGAAAGAAAGAGATTAGAAAGATACATGAGAAAACTCTAGGTAGGACAGATATATTCATTATCTTATTGTAATGATATTACAGGTGTATACTGGGTCAAAATGTACCAAACTGTACACTTTAAATATGGGCAGTTCTTATATCTCGATAAAACTGATAAAAACAGGGACTTCCCTGGGGGCACAGTGGATAAGACTCCATGCTCCCAATGCAGGGGGCCCGGGTTCAATCCCTGGTCAGGGAACTAGATCCCACATGCTTGCCGCAACTAAGAGTTCACATGCCACAACTGAGGAGCCCTGGAGCCGCAACTAAGACCCAGCGCAACCAAATAAATAAATAAATATTAAAAAAAAAAAAACTGATAAAAACAAATAAGGAAAAATGCTACCTTCATTAGAATATGTAATACTTTAAATATGTATTTTCCCTAATTATATGAAAAACATAATTCCAATCAAAATCCAAACAGGATTTCTTTGTGTAATTTAAGGATGCTTTTATTCAAGTGAATATGGCAAACTGTAATAAGTCAAGAAAATTCTGAAACATATGGCCTAAGAGATATTAATGAATAACAGAAATCCAATAACTAAAATAGTTTTGTACTGGCCAATACTTTGATCAATGGCACAAATACCAGTTCAGAAATGACACTTGAGTACAAAAAATGTTTTAAATGATGGAGGCAGTGTCTTAAGCGCATGGGAGAGATTACTCATTAAGTGTTGGTGAGATTACTGACCAACCTTCAGGTGGAAGGGTGGAGTAATGGGATCACCTATTTGCTACCGTCAAATTTCTCCCCTATCCCCAATTTTTTCACATAGTTCCATTCTTTACCTTCATAGTGCTTTACACAATATGCAGTTCTTTACTGTCTCCCACTCTGTAAGTGCTCTGTTTACCATTTTAGATCTAGTATCTGACACACAGCCAGTATTTAATAAGTATTATATTGAATGAATTCATGAAGGAATGCATGATGGAATAAAGAACTGCATGAATGGAAGGGGGGAAAAAATGAAATCTTAAAAGTACCTGACAAAAAAACAGGTGAATACTCATATAAAATCTCTGGGACTTTCTAAAACACATTAAAGACAGAAAACCAAAATGAAGAGACAGACTTGATGGAATAAAAATTTAAAGTTTCTGAATGAGAAAAATGTCACAATACAATTAGAAGGCAAACTGGGAAAATATATTTAGCACATGTAAAGAGAGAAATTAATATCCTCAGTATATAATGTGCATTTATAAGTCAGTAAGAAAAAGATGAACCACACAGGAAAAAAAACATTGAGGCAATTCATAAAAAGTATTATAACAACCAATATAAGGATGAAGATAATAATTGATAATTATTGATAACTGATAATTCTTACAATAAATAAAAATCAAAACAATAAGATATCTTTTCAACTAGAAAACTAGTAAAGGCATTTTAAAAATAAGATTTAATATGATAAGCTTGGTAAGAAGACTGAGAAGTGGGCTTCCAATACACTACTGGCAGGAGAGTGAAATGACAACTACGAGAGTAAAATCGTTTACCCCTCCTGGGAAGCATCTTGGTAATAAATAGTAAAAGTCTTAAAATTATATATTCTCTTTTATTCAGCATTTCAATTTCTAAGAGCTTAAGGAAAAACCCATAGACATAAACGAGCAAACGAAAGCTTCAAAAATGTTCATATCACAAGGTAAAACAGAAAGAGTGGCAACCATGAAGGCTATAATATTGGGTTGGCCAAAAAGTTCGTTTGGGTTTTTCTGTAAGATCTTATGGAACTTTTCGGCCAACCCAATAGGAAAGAAAACAAACAAGCAAACAAACAAAAAAAAAATGCTTAAATGATTAGTAGTGTACCCACAATGGAACATCAAGTATCTAGGAAACACACCCTAAAATATTAATGGGCAAAGGGACATGACATATGCAACTTAATTCTCAAATGGTTCAAAAGGTTTCTGAAAATAGTAATCTCTTTCTCTCTATACACACACATGCATACACCAAAAATACCTACACATTAAGAGGGAATGTGACAAAACAAATATGGCAGAATGTTAACAACTAACACATTGTGCTACTGTGCAACTTCTTGCTAAGTTTGAAATTATTTCAAAGTAAGTTAAAAAGTAAAAGTTTGCAGAGAAAAAAGTCCCATCACTCTTCATTGTCTCATTCCTCTCTACAGTAATACTCTTTTCAAACTGAAAAAAATGTTGAAGTATCTTTAAAGATCTAGGATATTTTTCACTCTATAGAGTGAAAATCATGATGTATATACACATCATTATGCAAAGAGTGATTTCAATCTTTTTAATACATCAATAACAAAATTATCACCATAGGGTGGGATGTTGATGATTTTATTTTAACCTTTTCATAACTGTATTTCCTAAATGTTAATAGAGGTGCATGGATGATATATGCGATTTTTTTAAACAGTGTTACAGGAAAAAAAGCGTACCTCATTTACTAATAATTAGTTTATATCATTTTCCTTAATTCTGACATATGCAATATGACATGAGAGATAATACTTAAGAGTTTGGGCTCCAGAGTCAGAAAAACCTGGAAGTGAATTCTAGTTTTAAACTTAACAGCTGCATAACACAACTCTATCTACCATACCACTTGCTCTGCGGTTTTACACAGACCTGGTTGCTCTTCAAGAAGTTCTAGGTAAGCAAAATGACATCACTAAGTGGATTTTTACCCTTTCCTATGGACAATGAAATATGATCATGAAAAGCAAAAAGAAAAGGAAACTACTCACCCTCTTGTCCCCAGCACAAATAATATTATAAAGATAAAAGGGCCATTAACTACAGTTTAGAAATAAGATTAAGTATAATTAAGTATTATGTTGGGATATACTTACCCGTCTAAAATTAGACTTTCATAGGCAGCTTTTTTGTCACACACAGGACAAATCCAGGTGGGCTTCTTCTCATTCATTTGCAGATAAAGGGCAGCATCAAAGCACTGTAGATGTGTACAAGTCACTGCACGGCATGGGATTGTCAGCCTCATTTTTCCTAACTATAGGACAGGGAAGACAACATGGGAAATCATTTCAGAAAAGAGAACAAAGCCTCAAAAGTCATAAAAATGTGAAGAAGTCATATGAGACTAACAAAATGAAAAAGAAACTAAAACCAGAATTTATTTCCATCAAGATTGCTATATATTTTATTTGTATTCACTGAAGGACCTATAATTTTTAAAAGACCATCTCACTTTTTGAAAGTAGGTAAAACTTGTAAATTCACAGGTAGGAAAAGATATATATACAATGAAAACATGTCTCTTTCTCATCTCTTCCCCTATTTAGAGAGAACCACTGTTATCCATCTCTTGCATGTCCTTTCACAGATGTTCTATGCATAATCAAATGTGTATTTTAAAAAACATTTTCCCAGATATGGTGGCGTGCAATTCACACAATTCCGTACTTACATTTAAACTGCCTCCAATCTCATCACTACAAATAATGCTGCAATAAATAGCTATGGGATAAATTCCTAAAAGTAAACTTTTTGAGTCAAAGAAAAAGTGTATGTGTGATTTTTGTCACAATGACAAACTATCTTCCACAGTGGTTACCTACTGATTTACGCATATACATGTATTAATGTGCTTGGTTCCCCTCGACCTTGTCAATATAGCGCTATTGAATCCTTTGACCTCTGCCAATCTGATAGGTGAAAAGTACCCCATTGTAGTTTTGGAATACACTTCTCTTATAATAAGTGAAGTTGAACTGCTGCTGCTTTTTTTTCTTCTTTCTTTTTTTTTTTTTTTTTACTTCTAAGGGTCATTTGTGTTTCCAAGAACTGTCTATTCATAACCTTTTCTCATTTTCCACTTGGTTATTTATCTTTGGTTACCTATATTAATCAGACTCATGTATGTGATATGAATTGCAAATATATTTTTATATACTTTTTTTCACTTTTCTATAAGCGCATATGTTGATGTTTCAATATACTCATATAACCTAGTTCTCTGTTCAATTCTTATTCCAATTGGCAGAGGAATACCAACATCAAGACATATATAGCATCCAGATTAGATCAGATCAAGTTTTTCTGTAGAGCCTTTTGAATCTCCCTGTATACTCCCTTTATAGAAAAGATCTGTTTATAACCAGCTCTCTTATTCTGATAGAAAATCTGTTTCTCCCACTACACTCTAAGCCCCACAAGGTCTATGTCACTGTTCACCACTGTAATCCAAGTGTCACAACACAGTACCAAGCACGCAGCCTATGCCCAGTATTTGTCAGCCAGATGGTAGAATGGAGAAAGTGGGTAAGGGGCAAAGAGAAAGAAAAGGAAGAAGGAAAAAGAATTCTTTATTTGCACTATAAAGTCTAGAAGAAGTCACAGCTAAACTATAACACTGTTAGCTCTGCCTGAGGGGTAGGATTTTTAGAATGTTCCTTTTTTTTTTTCTTTTGGTTTATCTGTAATTTCTTTCTGCTAAAATGAACATTTGGTTGTTTTATAATTTAAAAAGAAAATAATTATCCAACTCATCATTATAGCAGTAACTAATGCTTATATAGTTGTACCTACATGTAAGGTATCACGTTGAATACTTTACATTAATCTTCATGACATTTTACATTTTAACCTAACAACTACACTATACAGTTGATATATATTATCATCCCCATTTTATAATGAGGAAATAGACAAAAAGAAGCTAACTAAATTGACTAACATTACAAAGTTAGAAAGTGGCAGAGTCAATATTTGAACACAGATGCTCTAACTCCAGAGTCCATACTACCTCTAAGTGTCTAGGATTCTAAAAGAGATTTTGGAAGTTACAGTGATTCATGCAAGTATGTAGCACAATTTAACTATTTAAGATGGAAAAAAAGTGAGAAAAGAATGTGAGGCAATTTCTCTTCTATGATATTTGCCTCTATATTTTCCCTTCCTTTAATAACGAATTATCCCTTAAGTAATATAGAACCTTACAGCATGCTAAAGACTTTTATGTAAATTTCATAATAACCCCATGACTCCAAAAGGACTAGTATCTATACTTCTACTTCTGAAATGAAGATGCTGAGGCTACAAGAGGCTAAAAACAATACAATCACTAAGATGCAGTTGCTAGAGCTATAACACAAATCCAAATGTTTTTCACTTTCATAAAGACATTCCTAGTTTTACATTATACATGGTGGTAGTTTTTGGTTTTACTTATCTACCTTTTCCTACTTTGCTAAGAGTTTTTGTTCTATAGGAATGGATGTTGACTAAATATCTATTTAGCACCTAATGAGATTATGAGGATTTTTTTTTTCTTTTTCAATTATTATTATAGATAATTTCAACAGATTTTCTAATATGAAACTATACTTGCATTCCTAAGAGGCATCCCTTTGTTATCACATATTATCGTTGAAAAAAGAGTACTGGATTCGACTGGCTAGTATTTTATTTAGGAATTTTCCATCATTGTTTTTTTACATAATCCATGTTTGGAAACAACCCAAATAATCACTAAAACGGTTGAAAAAAAATAAGCTGTACCATACCAATTCAACAAAATACCTAGAGTGGTTAAAATTAGATCTAGACATATTAATATATTTAAGATATACCATTAATTTAAAAACAGTAAACCACTGAACAGTATATATAGCACAATACAGTTTTTTCCAATAAACATACACATGATTATAAAGAGTTAAATCTAGTAAGATATCATATTATTTAAAATGTTACTTCTGAATAGGTTTTAGTAATTTAAAATTTTCTCTTTTGTTTATTGAAAAAACTGTATAATAAAGTAGGTATTATTTGTCAATTTTTTGGATTTGTTTCTTTAAAATAATGCTCTAACTCAACCTACTATGGTTTTTTTAGGCAACCAGTTCTCAAACTTTTGGCTTCAGAATCCCTTTACACTCTTCAAAATTGAGAACCTCCAAGAGCTTATATGTATGTAAGTTGTATTTACCAATATTTATTGTATTAGAAATTAAGAGACATTTTTAAAACAGAAGAATACTCAAGTATACATTCCATCAGCCATCAGAGCAATGACATCAGCCCCTGTCAGGTAACCCCTATCAAATATCACTGTCTACTCATGAGAGAATGAGAGCAAGAAAGGGACAAACTGTGTCCTAGTATTATTATAAAAATAGTTTTGAGTTTCTGGACCTCGTCAAAGAGTCTCAGGGATCCCCAGGTACCCTTGGGCCACAATCTGCAATCTGCTGCTTTTTTCTTTTTCTTCCTCTTCTACGCCATTCTCATCTCTCCTGTAACTGCTTTAGAATTTCCATAGCATAAAGAAACAAAAACATTCAGGACTACAAAAGTTGCTGATCCTAAATTTAATGCTACTCTAGTGTCTTACAAGAGCTAATGAACATTTCCCAAGTTAAAAAAGCATTTATTACTAACTGGCAAAATCTGACCCATTTCCTAATACTGATTATGGAATGTTAATAAAAAAAGATTTGAATGTGCTGAATTCTATTTAGTCAGATGATGGCACTGTTTTGAAATGTATTGATTTTATGAATAAAATGGTATCTAACACTGTAATGCAGCTTTTTTATTAATCAAATATTAAGCAGGTAGTTTCTAAATTGATTTTTACTTCATTATAGACTAATTAGTACCTGTCTAAAGAAAGAGCAGGTATAAGCAAAAATGCCTCAAATCATTGGTTCCAAACTATTTGTAGAAGCGGTACCTTTTTTAAAAAAAACTTGAGTCAGAATCAAGTAAGACATAAAATCGAACCTATTTTTCTTTTCTATCCTGGGGCACCCATCTAGCCTACCTCTGCAGGACAGTCCAAAAATCACTAGCTAATATCACTAAGATGGAACCCCTATGTAAAATTCAGATACTCTGTTTAAGAATTTAATTATACACACTCAATCAGATCCCTCTTTAACAGCTGTTGTAAAATTATCTTCCTTAGGTCCTAAGGACAGAGGTTTTGAACTGTGCTCTCACTATCCAGATTCATGTCTACTTCAAATCACTTTACAAACCATATTGTGAAATAGAATATTTCTCCCACAACCTTAAGCTATCATTTTCTCTCATTTTTGCCTAATTAACCCATGGTTCACCACTTATCCTTCCAAATGCCTATGATCCTTTTTTTCTTCACCGCTTCCCATCACCACCCCAGATCCTGTGTTATTTCCACAGTCAGCTGGCTATACTCCCTCCATTCTGCTATCTTCAACTGATACTAGTATTATCTCTGCCTCTAAAACTACTTTCACCATCTAACTTCTGTCATCTATCTGTTAAATTTGATCAGAACACCTGTTTGGTTTTCTGATAACATAGATCACATCCTATAGTTAGCAACCCAACGTTAGGTTAACACTAGTATAGTCTGAAGAGTACCATTCACTCTTTTCTTAGCAAGTGCTCCGAAAAAATCAGGTAGGATGAATACTGAGGAAAGCTCAAAAGATAGTCTCAGAAACAGATCTGTTTTCACTTGTAAGCAGAGAAAGAAAACATTTAATGAACTTAAAACAGAATCTTGTTACTTCAAATCATTGAAATGTTCATTTTCGTAAAACTGTCAGTTTTATTAAAATTGACACATGTGAAAGGAACTATTCCCTATTCTTTTTTTTTTTTTTTTGAGTTATGCGGGCCCCTCACTGCTATGGCCCCTCCCATTGCGGAGCACAGGCTCCGGACGCACAGGCTCAGCGGCCATGGCTCACGGGCCCAGCCGCTCCGCGGCATGTGGGATCTTCCCGGACTGGGGCACGAACCGTGTCCCCTGCATCGGCAGGCGGACTCTCAACCATTGCGCCACCAGGGAAGCCCTCCTCCCATTCTTATATAGAAGAAATCCTAACCATGCCAATATACCACTTTCACTATTTTGAATGTCCAAGAATCCAATAGTTTGGTTATTGTTTTGTTTTGGCTGTTGTCATGTAGAACAGCACAGTGTTTGAAGGAAAAAATGGGAAAAAAATTTAAAAACCAGTTCCAAGACAGTAAGACTTACAAAAAATGGAACTGTGCAAACTGTACAACTCCTTTGATAAATTGTGTAGAAGCGCTTTCTTCCTGATAGAATAGTTTGACATACTAAAACAAAAAGGTGATGTGAGTTCCCTTCCCAAATAGTGGTTCTGCTTAGAATATAGCCAGCAATGAACATTTGCTGAATATACTAGAGTTAAACCATAAGAAACTTCCAATATCCAAACTGTTTTTGACGAACAAAATGGCAATTTCATGTGTTCCAATTTAATATCAATCTTAACATGAGAAGGAGGAAACGGTACTGTGAAGAAATGAGCTCATGCCCAGCTTGTGAGTAGAGGAGGTCCCAAGCCCCTCTAGGGCCCCTGCCACCACCTCAGGGCATTAATGGCCTCCTGCAGACCTTCTCTGTGCTTCATAAAACACACGTTTCCGATTTCGAAGCAATCCCAATTTCATGTTAAGTCTATCCCTTTCCAATAAAGGTAAGTTAAAGTTAATGATAATAGATAATAAAGCTTTAGAAAGAAAGATATCTGCTTTCCCAAATAGAGAAGTAGACTTATAATCAGGATATTTATATTTTTGGCCCCATGTGGCAATATGGTACACTGTCTTATAAGAGAATTGGAATAATGTCAGAAGACCAAAATTTAAAACCTTGTTCTACTACAAACTAACTGTGTGATCTGGGTTAGCCAACCCCTTTCAGTCTCAGGTTCCTCATCTGAAAATGAGAACAATTCCATTCAGGCTTGCTAATAAGACAATATAAGGAGCACATAATAGGAACTCAACAAATTATTCCCTTCTCTGACACAATTCTCTTTCCATTTAAAAAACTGTATGCTTCTCACAATGGGAGCTGGTCACCAAATGCCTCCCCCCAGCAACTATATTATAAATTCCTAATTCCATACTTTTCTCATAAAGTTCCTCTCATCTGGAAAGGGTCCCCTCCAAGAGTAGTGATTTTAAAGAAGCCTTCATCCACTATTCCTGACCTCGCCTATCAATTAGCATTTATTAGGTCCTAATAACCTTACTGCTATTTTTCAATACCGTTTATATTGATAAAAGGAGCCAACTCTCTAGATATGTTCAGTATTAGCGGTGGATTATCGATAATTAACAGTGACAGATTATTCTGAACCTAAAACTCTCTTTCCTCTTTGATGCAATATCCCTTTACATCTCTTCTTGCTTAGTCATTGCCTGAAGAATGTTTGCATTCTTTGGAATTATAATGCTTAACCATGAAGATCCCTGAATGGGAAAATGAAAAAAGTTCAAAATTCTATAATATACCATTCATTCACATACTTACTTTTATAGGAAAATTAGTAATTTATAAAAAGTAAGATGCCCCAGAATGTTTTGTTGCTTTACTTACAGGGCACATCAAGGACACCCGAAGGCTAGTGGTAGCAATTTCACTATCAGGATCCGCAGTAAGTTTTTCTTTAACTTTAGGAGGGAAAATCAATAATAAAAACACAGTTTAAAAAATTAATTGTGACATATGAACAGAATTATAGAAATATATATATCATCTTATATAAAGTTTCCCAAACACTTCAAATAGATCAAGAAACTACAAAAAGAAAACAAAACAAAACAAAATGTTAAGTATTAATGTACTGAAAACACAACCATACTTCCAGTATTAGGTTAAAGAATTACAAACTTACAAACTCTAGATGACATGTTTAATTGAATTTTTAAAATTTCTTTTTAAAAGTAAAATTGCAGGTGAGGAAGAGTTTCAAAGCAGAAAGCTGTTTAAGACTTAAGAACAATATAACAATTAGGAAAGGAACTTGGAAGGCAGCTATCCTGAGCTTCAGTGCTTTTCTAAAACACATTCATGACTGTTTTAATTTGGGAGTACTGGTAATTTCCAACAATTGTTAAATTTGTAAACAGAAAAGGTAAAATATTCTTATACTTCCTTTAACTATTGAAAACTACTATGGATGTGGGAACGTCTGTGATCTTAATCATCACGTAATGTATACAAGTTATTGTCTATCTATACAAGCTAATGAAGACATACACCACCTTCAGATGCCTAATTCTCAACACCACGATAGGGAGAACAGGACTGTAAGTAGAGACAGTGGAACCTGAGTGGGGTAAAAAAAAAACTATGGAAGAGCTTCCATGGCTTTCAGCTCTAGGCAGGAAGATCAATACTGTATTGTTTGAAATGAGAAATGGCTTGAGTATAAGAAACAAAATACCATTTCAACAGCCCTACTTGGTTCCCTTTCCAACCTATAGATCCTCTTCTCCTTTCTGGTTCATTCAGTGATATGGGAGGTAACTGGGAGAAAAATATTCTCTTTCCCAAAAAAAAAAAGTCCTGTTCAATTAACTTCAATTACTGAACTGAATTATTTACAGTTTGGGTTAAGACTTTTTTTTCTCTACCTATTATTATACAGTATGAAAGCAAAGTACAAAATAAAACATCTCAGAAGGCAAATATTATCGTTGATGGATATCAACATTTCTTTTGCAAAAAGACGTTTTTTAGTTAGAAGTTTTTAAATGTGGATCACACTACACACTGCAGGTTTTGAAGACTTGCATTCCTATTCCCAAGTCAACGTAGGCATCAAAACTGCCATCAACCTGACATTTACCTAAATAACTTCTTATGAAAAGGGGAAAAATCAGATTAGCTGAGATTTAAAATTAATCCTCTTGGGAGTGGTTTCTAAGAGAAGGGCTTTTCAATTCCTAGGGCTCCATTCTTAGAGTATTTTTAATTCATAATTCATTTTAGGTTTCTAATAATTGTTCCCAAATTGTTCCTGTATGGAGGTATATGTGAAGCTTTTTAAATTTTCATTTAAAGCATCTCATATGCTCAGTCTTACAAACATTACTTACTTAGTGCTCTGGAATGATCAGGGTTTCTAATACCTTTCATTTTTAATCTCTGTAATAACATGGCTGATGTGAGCTGTCGTACAAGATATACAGACATGGAGTAATTCTACAAAGAAAGATAATCTGTATTAAAGATGAGAGATAATAGTCTATTTACATAAAACACTTGTCTAAGAAGCTCTGGTTTCTAAAAATAACATTCAAAATAACTTCCACAGGACAGTCAATGACTGGGAAGGGAACAAAATCAACTCAGCTACTTTAGGGAAGACGAACGCTTCATCATCTCAGTGATTGAGATATTTCTCAATCACTTATATAACTTTAAAACATCTATGTGAAAGATAAAATGGCTCAGATCAGTGGTTTTCAAACTGTGTTTCTAACTTAGCAAAACTGGTGCTTTAGGGGCCACCATGGTATAAATGAGAATGCACTCTCCCATGCCCACTTCTAACTAGAATTTTCTGTTTTTATGTAATCGGGCTCTCATAATATATTCATTGAAAAATGAGTTCCACTGCAGAAACAAAGTTCAAACACCTGTGGTCTAAATTAACACTTCACATCCAGAGTTCCACAGTTCTAATTCTGGCAGACACTTGCTACATGGCCTTAAGCAAATCACTCATATGAAACCCAAAATCAGCTTTCTTTTGAGAAAAAATTTGACAATTAATTCCTGTTCCCAAACGGGCATTTTACTAGGGAAGGGGAAGCTACTACAGTATATAAGACACATGAAGAAACTGTAAAAAATCAAAAAGACAAGGCTAGAAAATAATAGCATCCAATCCCATACTCTCTTAGATCTGGCACAAAGGAACTTACATTAGCTATTTATAAAGCTATGAAGAGATGATATACAATTTTACCTAAATGCTAAAAACCTACTTTACCATTTCACTACATTCATTCATTCAATCAATTCTACAATAAACAAAATACTTTTAATAGTTGCCAAACCAAATACTTTAAATATCATTTTTAATGTCCTGTAACAGTCCTTTCAAATATCTGAATACCCACTATAGTGTGCAAATTTAAGTCAATTAATCATTATAATTACAAGGAAATAATATTATTCCCATTATGTGGCAAAAAACCCCCACACCTGTCAGGCTTTCAATGTCTGCAATCTTTTACTCAAAAAATCTGTAAGTTCATAATCATTTCAAAAAGATATACTACTCTTCTGTTCAAATTCCTCTCACTAAGCTTTAAAGCATTAATACTTGCTCAGTTAACAATGTCCCTTATATTTGCATATAACACCCATTCTCAAGATTTTATTTATTCTTTATAGTAAGCAGGCCTCAGGGAATTAAGCAATTTGGCCAAAATCAAACAATTTGCCAACTTGGGACTAAGCCAAGATTTCCCAAATCCTTATCCAGTGCTTTACCGCTGTACATTCAGTTCACACAAATAAAAAATATTAGGGATCAGTGTCTTATGATAAAAACGTTAGAGTAAAAATCCAGAAATGAGAGCTCAAGAGAACAATCATTAGAGATCCTAATGTCTGTACAGTCAATACAAAAATATGCTTTATATCCAGCTCTGCAATTACCTTGGTGATAAAACCAAATGATTCTGGCTACAAACATGACTCAACTTCTCCATCCACAAATAGGAATACTATCCTTTATTTCTATGAAACAGCAACATTAAAGCTGATGTTCATAATTCATAAGTTAACTGAAATCTCTTGCTATTCTATTATTTCAGTTATATAAACAAGCAGTTCTAAAATGGAAATCCCTTGTTGTATTAATCAGTATCTCATAATTGACAAAACGCATTTTGAGACTAAGCATCAGCAGAAACCCAGGTCATCAACCTAAAAATACAGAGGAAATAATATAAATGTAAGTAAATATTTTCATATGGATGCCCACATGTTATTTGAAGTATCAGCTGTTCATATAAAGGCTGGAACAGATTATTTCTAATCACAACAGGAGTACATTTAACCAAATGTTAATCTTCTCCAAAGCCTGAGAAAGCTTTCTTTGTTCCTCTTCAAAAATTACCCCAAATTCCCAGTTTCTTAAAATACTACTTACACACACATAAACACAATTGTGATTAACCATTAACTTAAGAAATACTGTAATGATACTTATTTCCTTTCTAAGAAAATAAAGAGATGATACTCAGGAAACCTTGAAGTTTTAAACCTTGAAAATTTCTACATCTCTACCCTGAACTGAAAATTACTACTTTTTGGGGTTACAAACAGAAAACTGAATGAGCTGGAGCTAGTAGCCTAAGAAAAAAAACAAAGTAAATCAACACCTCGTGGGAACACTTTCATACTACCCAGAGAAAAGAATCTTTACCTTTCCAATTTCTGACGCCCAAGAAATGGAAATCTGGTTTGGCACAGCTGAGGATAATCTAACTAAAGATGTAATATTCAAAGGGCGTCCAGGGCGCTTCTGCTCAATCCCATTTTTAGGTGGTGGTGCATAGCCCTATAACCAAGAAAGAAAAATAATTTTAAATACTCCGTAGAGGAGCAAACATTTTCTCCAAGATGAGTACAGTATCTTGCCTAATTTCAGTCACACTTAATTACTTTTATTTTATCCTGGAAATCACATAGTCCTCACCCTAAGGTCACCAATCCAAAAGAGGAAAATGACCTCTTAAAAATGTTACAAAATATTTCACAAATCCAGAAAAATAAAACAAAAAATCCATGTTCCATTAAAATTAAAGATGCTGAGATCTTGCCATATTGACTATGAATTTTTTTCCTTTTTTTAAACAATAAAGTTGCACCTCTTTACAATGATTCATCTTAGGAGCTCTCATTCATTCAAATACTAGGGGTGAGAGAGGGAAAACAAACTCTGGAAATTTTTTAAAAAAAGCAAATCAGTGAATTTGAAAGGAATTATTAAAATCTTCTGAGTGATAAAAAAAAAACTCTCCACTTTCTTCTCTCCGAGTAGAACAAGGATTGCCATCTTTAAAACCAGGTCACGTTAACAAAAAAGAATAACCAATATTTCAATTGGCATTGAATTAGCTTGATGGCTATAATAAAATCGCTACTTATATATTTTTCTATTTTTTCTAGTCATTAAGTATTTGTTTTAAATAGTAAACAGTCTCACTTTTGATTTCACAGTACATCCAATTCTCAATTACCACAGGACTTTTCAGTTTCTGATTTTCAAAACCAATACATTTTTGAGAAAATTAAAATTTCTTAACTGAGAAAACATCTACGTATTGAAAAGCACACACCATATTTCACTGAACCTAAGATGCCAATGATGTAATTTATGTACCACTGAGAAGGAAAAAACAGTAAGTTAGTGATACAACCTAATGTACTTTTTTTTCCTACATACATATCAAGAAAACATAAGCAAAATGAACTGGCTAACATATTCCTTTAGGATATACAGAAGAATCTCTTGAATCGTTTTTTCACTGTCATCAATGCATGTTTTCCACATGATACTCTCCTATATGCCACCAAGAGCTCGAGATAAAAATACTTCTTAAAATTATATTCTGGGCTTCCGTGGTGGCACAGTGGTTGAGAGTCCACCTGCCGATGCAGGGGACACGGGTTCATGCCCCGGACTGGGAAGATCCCACATGCCGCGGAGCGGCTGGGCCCGTGAGCCATGGCTGCTGAGCCTGCATGTCCGGAGCCTGTACTCCGCAACGGGAGAGGCCACAACAGTGAGAGGCCCATGTACCGCAAAAAAAAAAATATATATATATATTCTACTCCACAAATCTCTCTCAGATTTCCTTGCAAGTCACTGACACCCTTAGACTAACTGCAAGTGTTAATGCTGACACACCCTGGATATTAAGAGAACAAAAATTTCAAACAGCCAGGATTCACGAACCTTCCTCGAAATGTTCTCATTTGTTGACTGAAAAACCGATAAAGGGCAGTTAACCAGTCATGCCATGGGAATAATAACATCAGGGCTGTACAAGTGCAGGCAACAACAATACATTACAGCTGCCACCTGATCGTCAGAAACTGTTAAGACACCTCTAGATTTTAAAGATGTCAAAAATATGCACCTTGGTAACAATGAGATACAGTTTTGGTGGTATCACACAGCAGAGCCTAGGAAAACAGTCTATCACACTAGGGAACACTTTTCGCTGCCTTGTAGGAGGTAGGATAGTAATTTTTTAATTTATTTTTTATTTTTTAATTTTTTGCAGTACGCGGGCCTCTCATTGTCGTGGCCTCTCCCGTTGCGGGGCACAGGCTCCGGACGCGCAGGCTCAGCAGCCATGGCTCACGGGTGCAGCCGCTCCGCGGCATGTGGGATCTTCCCAGACCGGGGCACGAACCCGTGTCCCCTGCATCGGCAGGCAGACTCTCAACCACTGCACCACCAGGGAAGCCCGGATAGTAATTATTAAGTGTGAATTCCCATGATAACTTGTAATCTACAACGTGCAACAAGACTTTGAAAATCATTGAGAACTGTCTGAGCAGAGGACTAGAAGACAAAGAGAAGAACGTAAATAACTATGGAAAAGGGAAATTGTGTGTGCGTGTGTGTGTGTGTGTGTGTAGAGGAGGATTATGCCCAGCTAAAGTTGTTCAAGTGAAATAAAAGAAGCAAACTCGTAAGAAAGTCCTCTTATAAAGACTAGGAAATTGGTTCAATGAGCCATACACACAAGGAATATCAACACCAATATCTGGGTAATTGTGAATGAAACCTTTGTTCTGCCTGTTTTGGGCCTGAAAGACAATTCTGTCTTCTGGTATGTCCACTAGTACGTTAACCAAATAAAAATAATGGCACAGGGTGTGCCAAAATGACAAAAACTCATGAACTAGACAGACAGTAAACTCTGTAAATTGGAATTTGAGACACCCAGCAACAATGTTGTTAGTTAATTTGACAGAAGAGAGCAACAGAAGGGAAGAGAATAAACGAGCATATAAGAATGAGGTGTTAGCAAATTCAAAACCAAATATGGTACTAGTATTATTCACCGAAATATTTTAAATCTATTCTCTACCCCACATGCCTAGTTTAATTTCATTGGTAATTCTGAGTTATCTGTATACTTATATTCTCCCTCTGACCAACAGTATCACCTCCAGTCAACCATCAGTTACCTGATTATTGAGAACAGGATATACAGTTGACCCTTAAACAACTCGGGGGCTGGGGCACTCACCCAACCACACAGTTGAAAATCCAAGTATAACTTACAGTCAGCCCTCTGAATATTCAGTTCCTCTGTACCTGAGGCACATGCAATACTGTAGTATTCACTACTGAAAATAACGCGGTATTTGGACCCGAGCAGTTCAAACCCATGTTGTTCAAGGGTCAACCATAAAAGCTGAGCCTTCACATATTTCTAACAATTTTCCATACTAAAGCAAAAATAAAATTAAGTTCATCTGACAGGAGACCTTTGGAGTCAATCTAAAGCTTTCTAAATAAAGGCTGCTGGAGAGCCACTGAAAGATTTCTTCATCAGTCTCAACCTAACACTTCAATAAAAGATATACCTAAAGAACCTTTTCGGTTCCATGCTCTGAAAACATCCCATCTACTTGTAATTCTGACAAAAGATGACAGTGTTGCTCCTTTAACATTTTCCCCCTAATTTTCTAATTACCATTACTACTTTAATACTACCAACATATTTACTATTTTACTTTGTTATTATAAAAATTTTCAAACATACACAAGAGTAGAAAGAACAGTAAAGTACCCACCAAACCACTTCAAAAACCAACATGTTGCCAATCTTGTTTTATTATCCTCTGGCCCAACCCTAGCCCACCCCAAAATACATACGCCCCTCCCAAAATACATACCCCACATATACACACATTTATTTTTGCCCGAGTATTTAAATGCAAGTTCTAGACATGCCATTTGACCCATACTTTTATATGCATCTTTAGAAGACCTTAAAAAAAAAAAACAGTATCACGGCCTTAATTTAACCATAACTTAAAAAAATTATCTAATATCTACTTTATATTCCAATTTCTCAACCGCCTCAGAGATGTCTTTTATCTTTTTATTACTGAAACTTTCAAACCTATAGAAAAATAGAGAAAAAAGTATAACAAATTCCCATATACCTATCATCCAATTCAATAATTTACTTATAAGCAGTCTTTACCCCCATCTCAGATTATTATATAAGGTATCCCAGACACATTACTTTATCCATACATAGTTTGGTATATATGATGTCCTTTTACAGTTTGAATCGGAATCCAAACTTGACCCTCACAGTGTGCTCAGTTGTTTCTGAAGTCTCCTTTATTCTATATTAAAGAATAATTTTTATTCTCTCCCACCCCCTGCCTCCAAGTCTACTCCTTTTCCAATGCTGTCGTTGGAGACCCCAGGGCTTCTGACCTGAAGAATGACCTCTTCTTCTGTATTAGACAGACTGCTTCCTCACAGTATGAAAGTGTGATACTCCCATGTTTTAAGCTGGTAATTAGTTGTACAGGCTTGACCAAACTCAGGTTCAAATTTTCAGGCACAAAAACTACGTAAGGAATGTTACGTTCTTCCTATTGTACCACATCATGAGGCACAGAATGTCTGTTTGTCCCATTTTCAGTGATATAAAGGTTGATCAGTTCAGCTGATGTAGGCCTGATCCTTCCACTATAAAGTTCCGCATCCAGCTTTGACCTAATGGTTTTAGTATCCATTGATGATGGTTACCTAGATCCATTATATGATTAAGGATTACAAAGTTTTTAAATCCATTCTTCCTTTTGCTTATATTAGTTGAAATCTTTCCATAAAGAACTTGACCACATTAACATTTGGTTACTCTGAAATCAATGATTCCCTCCCTTAACCAGTTTTTAGAGTAATGAGTTGATGTAACCTCCAAAGGTTTATTTTAGCATAATTATAAACTCATTTATATATTTGATAATTTTGAGTCCATTTAAGTATTTTTTTTTAGATGCCAATATTATCCCATCTTAGGCCAAGGGAATCTCTTCAAATTGGTGTGTGTGTGTGTTTCAAAAGAAGAATATATTGACTTTACTTCAGGCCAGATTTACTGTGAGGCAGACCGTCGGTGTAACTAATATATGCAGGAAAAAAATAATATATCAGCAAAAAGAGATCCACAAACTCAGAGAATACATTGAGATAATGGCACTAGTACTAATAAGTCTCCTGCTGCACCAAGAGGAAATACTTAGGAGATCTTTTTCAGCTAAACTGTAAGCACACATTCTCTCTACTCTTTGGAATCTTTCCAAGAAATACTACCCCATGTCAACCCACCTCCACACCCCAACCTTACAGCCCCACAGGTTTACATAAATTTCTCAAAATCTGTTTAAAAGGAAAAATAATTCAGCCTCTCAAAATAACTCTCCAAGCAAAGAATTTTTCTCTCTTCTACCCTTAAAAGCATGTAATTTTCTCATTTGGCTGTCAGTGTGTACGCTTGCAGTGCTTGAGTCAAAGGTGGAGGTGTGGGAAGATTCTCAGAGGCAGTTTCACTTGTGTCTGTCCACTCTGCACTTATTGTTCTACAAGTCCTGCTATGAACTGCTTACTGTCATCCCTGTATCAAGGGACTGGAAAAATCAAGGGATAAAGATGTCTTATAAAACTCAGCACCTTGATGTGGGTAAAACAGCACATCAACTGCTTTCATCACTATTTGACCCTTAAGAATCCAGGGACACACTGCTATTATCAAGGTAACACCATTTCCCATTCAGTTTACTCTTTGTTCATCATGGATCCATAATGACTGCATACGGCAATAAGGTCATACACATAGACACTTGTTCCCAGACACAAATTCGAATTTATTCAGAGCTCTAATGGGAAATCCCATGACTTACTCCTCCAGGATCTGTTGTATGATAAACCAGGACCATGGGCAAGGACCACATGTCGAATTTCTTTGTGGCCTGTTGATGCTTCTTACAATTGGAACAAAGTCCCTGAAGATCTCCATGGTGGTGGAGAGCTCACTTCTTCTTAGGCAGCAGTACACTCACATGATTCTCATAAATCTGCTTCATGTTAGTAAAGGCTCCATATTACATTATCCCAAACAACAGCAATTGTGGATCAAGGGGAGGTCTCAGCAGTTTTTCATCAGTTGCATGTAAATTTATGCCAACTGTTCCATAGGAGTTCACAGGGCTGAAGATGAAAAACCTGGGAAAGACTGGCATCTGGTCTTTGGGATGGCCCTATTAGGGTCAGGCAAGCTCACCCCTGCCCCCACCATCACCCCATTGCCTTCTGTTTGTGAAATCTGTTTTGAAATCCTTTGTCCTAATGCTCACCTTTCTTCACCTCACCCACAAGTGCTCCTGGAGCCACCGGAGGACTCTGGCTCCAGAGGTGAGTGCAAGACTCATCAGACAAAGGGTGTTTCACGTAGTAGCTGATGTGTTCACAAACAGCCTAGTATAAGTACTCAACGGTTAGTTAGTGCTTTTGGTAAGAAAGCAGCAGTGACTGAGTAACAATGTCCCAGAGGAAGTGCTCAACTGCCTAATTTCTTCTCTCTCAAAAGTCCTGGAAGAATGAAACAAGACTTTGAAAATCATTGAGAACTGTCTGAGCAGAGGAATAGAAGACAAAGAGAAAAACTATCCATAGTGGTGCTGCAGATCTCATGGATGAAAATATTATAGCAAAAATACTGGTCCACCTAGAAAATTGTGTGGAACGTGTGTATACACACCTGTCACTATCATATTTTCTGAAGCAATGCCAGAGTTTAGGTAGAGCCTCACACATTTCAGACACGACCCCCCAGCACTGGCACATATAATACTGGATAGATCTTCAAGGTGGGTCTATAGACACCAAGAAGATCATCATAATTAGATATTTCTAAAGAGAATGAGAGAGTTAAATAGCAATAAAAGTCAAAGGTCAAAGGAAATCTTAGCCCATCCTGGACAAAGAAAATTGGATATGAAAAGCAATGGAAAATGTGCTATCATTCCAAAATCCCAGGTTTCCTTTGCTGCACATCTGGCCACCCAGTGGCATCCTTCAGCTCCTAGTAAGGCTGCTTCTTCCCTTGGATTAGATCGTTATATGATCCATCCAGATAAAAGACAGCTCCTGAGATCTGTTGTTGCTTATAGCCAGAAACCCAAGAGACAAAATGTCCCACCGGGGTTTGAACATGCACAAGGCCATGTAAGCATTCCTCCCCACCATATCTGCTCAGCCTCTGAAATTTCCCCTTTCATCCCCAGAAAACTCTCTCTCATGATTTCAGCCTCACAGACATCTTTCAGAAACAGTAGGCAGTCATGCAGTATTGCTCAAGCCCTATAAAATGCATGAAACACGTTGTTTCTCAGGTCTCTAAATCCACAGGCTACGTATGAGAGAAATGAGACTCGTGACAATATAGTCACATCTTTGACTGGCAGGGTCAGCCTTGGCCATGGACCATCTATCTTCACTTTGGGCTTCAACTACAACCACTTGGCCCTGGTACAGCCTGCTCACAGCTGTTGTGCATATACTTATTCCAGAGACAAGTCTTGTGCCCAGCAGGGATGCTAAACAGCTGCCCCATCTCTTATCTCAACAGTCACATGGTATCTGCTTTGCTGAAACGGCAGCTTAACATAATGGTGGAATCACTGTTCTCATAGCACTTCTTCAGTTAAGATACATATCCACAGTGTAGGGCTTGAAAAACAGGCCATGCTCTACTACTACTGTGATTAAGGCTTTACTTCCACACAGCTGTACCAAATTAGTAACTTAGTCCAAACCTCAGTGGAGACAGATACATAGTCCTGTTCAACAATTAATTGTTATGTTAAGATTTGACTAACAGGATTTGAAGAGTCTGGAGCTATCTACCAGGTCAGAAGCAGGCTATACACACTGAGAGAGAGAGAGAGTGTGTGTATCTCCCAGGTGCTGAAGCCCATATACCTACTTCACTGCTTAAACAACAGGTTGTCGATCAAATACCACTGCATCCATCCCCCAAGTGTGCACCATCAAGGCTCAAGCTCAGAATCCTTAATCTCCATGTCCAGTCGCCCTCAGCAGCCTCTAACTTTCATCATCTCATCCATGGCTGAGGCCCAGCTCGTTCAGACATCCACTACAACATGTTGCCCTTCATATGCAGGTCTACTGCCCTGCTACTATGCCATTTGATATGATCTTAAGAGTCTTTCACAGCTTCCTCGCTTCCTGGCACAAGATGCTTCAAGCTCATCTTTTCCATCTCCCCCAAACCTGGAATCAGCCACTTCCCCAAGGAGCCATGAAGCTCTCTAGCGGAAAACAGTATTTAATGCTGGGACTGTTCATTGGTACTAAGTGATCACTATTTCTAGGCCTTGTTAATATTTATAATAAACTTACATACAAAAAGCCTGTGAATAAAAAGCAACTTACAGGCAAAGGAAACAGCTTCCCATTTACTTTTATACAGAGACTATTGGGATAGTTATCTTCTTGAGGGCAACTCGTCTCTGCCAGGCAAAGTCTGCATTAAAGAAAAAAAAGAAATACTCTTAAATAGTGTACTCAAACATGCTTATGTATTTACAAATTCAGGACTATATACATATAGTTACAAGTATAAAATTAAAGTAACAAGAAAATTTCAAACTCACCTCAACTGAACTTGGACTGTATAATCTCTCCTACCACCTGGCAAAAAATCCCTGTTGGAAAGAGAAAAAAATTGGGTTAAGAAAACACAACTAGAATTCACAGAAACATTCTCAACAGAAAAAAGCATTATTGGTATTTTTACTCTTAGTCCTTAAAAAATGAACACTACCTTACCAATAGCACAAGGCTTAATTAAAACACTGTAGTGGGGGCTTCCCTGGTGGTGCAGTGGTTGTCTGCCTGCCAATGCAGGGGACGCGGGTTTGTGCCCTGGTCCGGGAAGATCCCACATGCCACGGAGTGGCTGGGCCCGTGAGCCACGGCCGCTGGCCCTGCGCGTCCGGAGCCTGTGCTCCGCAATGGGAGAGGCCACAACAGTGAGAGGCCCGCGTACCGCAAAAAAAAGAAAAACAAAAAAACAAAAAAAAAACACTGTAGTGATGAAAGCCCTCATTTGCTTAACATTTAGTCTTGTCTTTATGGCAATTTTAAAGTATTTTCAATTCATGGGAACTTTCGCAATATAATTTTTTTTTTTTTTTTTTTTTTTTTCTCTCCACTGGGTTCCTTGATCACTGGAGGGATCAAAGGCCTGTTTTTTGAGGGCATGTGGACACTGAGCCCCCTGCAGCCCGGGAGGGAGATTCTTTTTTTTTTTTTTATACACAACATATTTATTTATTTATTTATTTATGGCTGTGTTGGGTCTTCGTTTCTGTGCGAGGTCTTTCTCTAGTTGTGGCAAGTGGGGGTCACTCTTCATCGCGGTGCGCAGGCCTCTCACTATCGCGGCCTCTGTTGTTGCGGAGCACAGGCTCCAGACGCGCAGGCTCAGTAATTGTGGCTCACGGGCCCAGTTGCTCCATGGCATGTGGGATCTTCCCAGACCAGGGCCCGAACCTGTATCCCCTGCATTGGCAGGCAGATTCTCAACCACTGCGCCACCAGGGAAGCCCTCATCAGTTTTTCTGCTAATTAATTTCTGTTCCTGGATCCAATCCAGGATCATTGTCATTATAAAAATATAATTTTTATTTGTGTCATTATAAAAATATAATTTTTATTTCAACAGACAACAGACTTGGTTAACAGGAAAAGGAGCATGGTTCTAAAAGAGTTTAATAAATTAATTTGTTTACTTACAGTGGTTCTGAAGCCTTGGCTGAGCATTCTAATCACTTGCAAATTTTGTTTTAATATACAGGCCCACTCATCAGATATTCTTATTGGTTCTGAAGCACAGTCTGAGCATTAGTAGGTTTTACAACTACTCGGGTGATTCTAATAAAGAACTAGGATAGAGGACTGGTGTCTAGAGTCTCAGAACCTCTATACCACAGCAACTTCATAACTATGTACCCGAATAAGGAAACAGAATCTCTTGGAATTTCTAGATGAGAACCTAACAGAGTCCCATGTGAAATATCTCTGGAATGGAACCTCCTAAGCACTTGCCACTCAAAATGGAGTCCACAGTGAAGCAGCATTGTAACTGCTTGGGAGCTTCTTAGTTAGAAATACAGAATCTCAGGCTCCACTCCAAAACTACAGAATTAGAATCTGAATTTTAGTAAGATTCCCAAAGTGACATGTATTCACTTTACAGTTTAAGAAATCTTCTCCTTAGCCATTATCATAAATCCTGGACTGTGTCAGAGAGAAGATCATTAGAGATTAGTCCTGTCTTGAGAGTACATATAGCCCTCCATCTTGTTCCAACTTGCTTCTTACTGCTTCCAATTCTCTATGTTCCCTGGAAGGCAGTAAAGCACAGTAGTGATCAGCCTGAGTTCTACAGTCCCAAACTGTATGACCCTGGGCAAATTACCTAACCTTTCTGTGCCTCAGTTACACCTGTTAAAGATGGAAAATTACTGCATCTACTTCATGAAGATGTTGTGACAAACGTGTTAAGGGCCTGGATATAAGAAGTGCTCAACAAGTGTGAGCAGCTGGCTGCTATTATTGTTAACTGTTTCTCTGGCCAGTAGTAGCTTCCACATTTCTCAAATGCCTATTCAAAATATCCTAGACAACACTGACCTCTTGAGAGTAACTCATATCATTCTGCTCATTAAAATCAAGAAACACCGCAAAGTCTGGGTGCTGGAGCATCAAAGATAAATAAGACATAATATTTGCTCTCAAAGGTCTCATATGCTAGTAAGTAACAAATATATACAACTAAAATATTATGTGGTAAGTGTTACAGTACATTATGAAAAATAAGTGTTACAGAAAAGAGGGAAATTCAATTTTGTCTTGCAAGTTCAAGGCAGTTACCACACTCAGTCCAAACAAATTAGAAAACAGGGTTTGTACAGCAGTGGTTCTATTTCCACGTAGAGAGACACACTTCCATCAGTAACAGTGGCTTCACTAGTAGGGTGATTCTCAACAGAAGGAAAGGTGAGTATCAACCAGAGATACATCACAGAAACTTGTTAGGTTGGGAACATAATTTTTAAAAAGAGAAAAGACAAAAGACGAACCTAGAAAGATAAATGGGAGAATGTTATAAAGGGTTTTGAATGGTTCACTAAGGATTTATACTTTATTCCAGTAAGGGAAATTAACACAAACTGGGAAATGTAATGTGTTACAGATCTTCACAAACGTGACGAGTAATGACAAAGCATCTTCTGACATTCATTTTCTGCCAGTCACTGCTCTAGGAACTTTCACATGTTGAACTCATTTATCAGATATAAAGGCATTTACTATATGCCAGGCACTGTGACAGGCTGTGAAAATATAAAAATGAGTAAGAGATGTTGAATTTACAAACTTCTTAGTGAAACCAAGTAGTCAAATAAATGCTTTAATAGAAAATAAGTACATGAGAGTAGTACAGAGAGAGACAAATGATGAATTTGGGGAAATGTGAAAAGGCATCACAGAAGAGGGAAGACTTGAACTGGCCCTTAAAACATGACTCAGGTTTGCCAAGCAGAGTAAGGAGGAAGAGGATATGCAAAGATGCACAGCTATGAAAGTCTAGCTAGAGTATAGGCTGTTAAAAAAGAGTGATAGGAGATGAGATGATTAAAAAAAGTTTAGTAGATCCTACAGAGGTCACTTCTCCAAAGTCGAGAAACAAAACTAACCTACCACATACATAAAAATACAAAGAGCAACTTAGACAAAATGAGGTGGCAGGGGAACATTTTACAGATGAAGGAACGAGATAAAACTCCAGAAGAAAAACTAAGTGAAGCACAGATAGGCAATCTACCCAAGAAAGAGTAATGATCGTAAGATGATCAAAGAATTTGGGAGAAGAATGGATGCACAGGGTGAGAAGTCAGAAGCTTTTAACAGAGTTAGAAAATACAACGAACAACCAGAGATGAAGAATACAATAACTGAAATGAAAAATATACTAGAAGGAATCAACAACAGACTAAATGATACAGAGGAATGGATCAGTGGGCTGGAAGACAGAAGTCACTGCCACTGAACAGAAAAAAGAAAAAAGAGTGAAAAGAAGTGAGGATAGTTTAAGAGACCTCTGGGACATCAAAACTCACTAATAGTTCACATTATAGGGGCCCCCAAAAGGAGAAGAGAAAGAGAAAGGGCCTGAGAACATATTTGAAGACATAATAGCTGAAAACTTCCTTAACGTGGAAAAGGAAGGAAAAATAAACAAATGGGACCTAATCAAATATAAAAGCTTTTACAAAGTAAAGTAAACCATCCACAAAACAAAAAGACAATGTACGGAATGGCAGAAAATATTTGCAGATGATATGACGGATAAGGAATCAATATCCAACATTTATAAACAGCTCATACAACTCAACATCAAAAAAAAAACCCGATTAAAAAATGAACAGAACTGAACCGACATTTTTCCAAAAAGGAAATGCAGATGGCCAACAACATTGTTAATCATCAGAGAAATGTACGTCAAAACTACAATGAGGAGGCTTCCCTGGTGGCGCAGTGGTTGAGAGTCCGCCTGCCGATGCAGGGGACGCGGGTTCGTGACCCGGTCTGGGAAGATCCCACATGCCGCGGAGCGGCTGGGCCCGTGAGCCATGGCCACTAAGCCTGCGTGCCCAGAGCCTGTGCTCCACAACGGGAGAGGCCACAACACTGAGAGGCCTGCGTATCGCAACAAAAATTTAAAAAAACTAAAAAAAAACTACAATGAGGTATCACCTCACATGAGTCCTAAGGGTTATCATCAAAAAGTCTACAAATAATAAATGCTGGAGGAGGTGTGGAGGAAAAGGAACCCTGCTACACTGTTGGTGGGAATGCAAATTGGTGCAGCCACTATGGAGTACAGTGTGGAGGTTCCCTAAAAAACTAGAGTTACCATATGATCCAGCAATCCCACTCCCAGGCATATATCCAGGAGACAAACACTCTTAATTCAAAAAGATACATGCACCCCAACGTTCACAGCAGCACTACAATAGTCAAGACACGGAAGCAACCTAAGTGTCCATCAACAGATGAATGGATAAAGAAGATACAGATACACATAGACACACACACACACACACACAAACACAATGGAATATTACTCAGCGATAAAAAAAGAATAAAATATTGTCATTTTCAGCCACATGGGTGGACCAAGAGATTATCATACTAAGTGAAGTAAGTCAGACAGAGAAAGACAAATATTATATACCACTTATATGTGGAATCTAAAAAAAATAACACAAATGAACTTATTTACAAAACAGAAAACAAACTCACAGACACAGAAAACAGACTTATGGTTACGAAAGAGGGCTAGGGGTAGGGATAAATTAAGAGTATGGGATTAAAAGATACCACCATATATATAAAATAGATAATAAGTATTTACAGTATAGCACATGGAACTATATTCAATATCTTGTAACAACCTATAATGGAAAAGGATCTATAAAAGATACATATAGGGCTTCCCTGGTGGTGCAATGGTTGAGAGTCCGTCTGCCAATGCAGGGGACACGGGTTCGTGCCCCGGTGCAGCTGGGCCCGTGAGCCGTGGCCGCTGAGCCTGTGCGTCCAGAGCCTGTGCTCCACAACGGGAGAGGCCACAACA